GTGTGTATAGAACAGTTACGCCTTTTGATAGGGGACAAGTGACCTAACAGCTATTTTCCATCTGTAGCTTCTGTACGCTTTTGGTTTAGGGAACTGTAGTAACTGCCAGCATCTGCTTCTCTCTGCTTGGGAGTCGGTTTCATTTTGGGTTTGCTTATCAACAACTGTACTATGTGCCTGCAACTTTTAACTCCAAATATCAATCTCTGTACTAAATCATTGCCGAGTAACCTTCCATTCTTCTTTTCCATGCTGCCCATCTAATCTCCAGCTGCGAGCACACAGCTCCTGCCTGCATGCTGTCAGAATGAGTCTGAGCTGCTCAAACCTCAACTCCAGCCTGAACATAATTTTTTGTCTCCGCAGGAATATCAGGAAAAAAAAAAAAAAAAAAGTCACCAAGGCTACCAGTCCTCGTTATTGTTTGTATTTATGCTTTTGGTTCAACTTATTTTCTTCCTGGAAGTTTTGGTTCCACCGATTTTGTTTGGGTTTGATTGGGCTTGCTTTTTTTTATTGCTCTCCCTTTTCTCATTTTGTTTTCTCCATTCTTTCATTGGAGGCAATGAGCCGTCCAGCGGTCGGAACTCCCCTGTCCCTTATCGGCCCGACAGCCGCCCTCTCACTCCAACTTACGCTCAGGCCCCTAAACATTTCCATGTTCCAGGTAGGAGCTGGCACTGTATGTGTCTCGGTGTCCTGTCACAGTGTAGAATGTAGCCTTTCTAACTTTTGTCTTGTCTCCATCGTTTCACACTGTTTACCATGGGGTGCACCTTCAGCGTTTGTAACTGCTCTTGGGCTTGCTGAGAGGAGTAGTGCATTAAGAAATGGGGAGTGTTCATTGTCACTTTTACCTGTGCTGGTGTTTCACTGTTAGAATGTCTTGGTTTTCAGGGTCTGTTGATGGCCTGTGAGCTGGATATGAGCTATGTAAGGCTTGATTTTTCTCCCAGTTGTGCACCAGCTGAGCACCAGCATAACTCTGCGAAGTTATGGTTGGTTAGGAGGAGTTGGTTTTGATTCACAGTGGCATGCAGGAAAGAGTAGACTAGTGAGCCATTACATCTGTTGTTCATTGAGATTGGTGTAACTTGTTTTGATCTTGAACCCAGCAGTTCTAATTTAGTGTTCCTTTTATTTTATTTTAATTTTTTTTAAAGCAGATGAGGATGTTTCTTTCCTTATTTTGTGTAATGGCTTGGTGTCCTTAGAGAGACCTGCAGATCCACCTGCAGGATATGTGTGCCTTAGGATGCCCTCTCTGTAAAGGGCAGCCTGTTTTGAAGTGAGCTGCAGAGTTCTCCAGCCTCTAAGAAGATCTTGGATTTTGATGGGATGAGGATGTATGTCCCTATGATTGTGGACATGCATCTTCTGATTGCATCAGTGCTAGCTGAAAGCCTTATTACATCCAGTTATTCTTCAGGTTCCCTTTAGTGTAGTATCCCTTCGCACTGCCAGAGGTTACTGCTCTTCTTCCTTTCCTTAGATCTGGCAGATAAACTGTTTGTGGGAACTTCTTTTTCAGTCAGTGTGACCTGGCTTGGCTAAGGTAGGCTGTTTTAACTGCTTAAGCTAACCTGGCTCACGCTGACTTGCGTAAGCTAAAGCACACTTGCATGAATAGCTCTGAGTAATAATCTCTAGTGTGGTGGGAGAGCTGTCCTCTTCAGCTGGCGCCGTGCAGCCACAGAAGGAGCTGTGTTCCTGTGTTCCTGTCCTCCTTAGAGCTTTCTGGTATAGGTGTGCGCAAAAGTACTGCATGACTAGCCCTGTAATGTTTATACCTATTTGCTGATCAGGTAGCCGTAACAGATCACTAACAAGAATGAAATACCTCAGTGTCTTTGTGTGCAATGAATTTGCCTGTTTGGTCAAGGATGTAGAGTTCTGCAGAGTAACATTTGCCTCTGTTTCCACAGATTTCTAGGTTTAGCTTTGCTTAATGCCAAGGACTAACTTGTCTGCTGTAGCACTTAATTGGATCTGCAGTTCACAGCATGTAGTTCTAAAATGCTTTTTCATCTTTCATTCTAATGTAAATGGAAACTTTTTAAGGCAGTATGAAGTTGAAAAATGGGTTTCTGACATTAATTTTCTTGTTCCCAGTATCTCTTTTTGGTCTTCTAATAAGATTTTGACAGATTTTGCACTATAGCACTGATTTTAGATTAACTTTTGTACACGAAGTTTTGGCTTGGGTGGTGATGTAGTTTAGAACAAATTGGTTCCCATCTTAGATCGTTATTTGTAAAAATACGGTATCTTTTAGGCATGCTGTAGATTTACTGCATTAGAGGTCCAGGAAGTGTTTTTATTCGGATTTACATTGATAATGTGCAATGTGGTGGATCTTACATTTAAAAACAAAAAATATACAAAAAAAAGCAATAAAATCTTTCCCCATGGTATGAGAGGTAGTCGTGTTTTAGTTAACACTGCACAAAGCATCCCTTTGACTCGCTGAAGCGTGGCTGTTGTTAACTGTTCAAAACAGTGTATTAGGCAGCTATTTTGTTCTCTGGATTTTGAAGTGAATTGTAGGCTCACTGCATTCTCCTCTGCTCAATCCAGTCGGTCAGCTGGAAAGAAAATTGAGCTGATATGACTGAAGCACAATTTTCTACAAAAGTTATTTGGGGTAGATTTCCCCAAATGGCTTGTATCTTCACCACTGAAGTGTCCTGCTTGTTTGCATTTCCTCTCTAACTTTTATTCCACTGATAATCTGAATGTTTAAAATGAACGGTTCATGACTTGGATTCATCCACGTGTTGCAGAATCAGCTCCAAAGGACTTCATGCCACATGTCTTTGACTTTTCACTTGTTCTTATGTTTTCTTTTCTTTAAATAATCTGATTTTGTGTAATACTAGAAATAGCTTTCTGGCTTTTTCTTGTGCTACATCCTCGATTTGGTCTGTCTATTGTTTTAGTGTTGGAGTAATCTTTATCTGCATCTGAAGTAGTTTTCATATTCACATTTTTCTGTTTCTCATTTTCACAGATCAAGGTGTCAACATTTATAGAAAACCACCAATCTACAAACAGCATGGTAAATGATCTTTCTCTTTTTATTGCAAAACTGGAATGTCAACTGTTAAAAGGCACACAGACCAGTGAAAGCTGTTCAGTGTTTACTTTGTAAGCACTAAAATTCAGTAGTCCAAGCCTGACACAGCTGTTATTGCATGTCCTGCTAAGTGATTATTTTAAAGCATGTTGTTTCATTTGACTCATATAGTTTGAATCTTGGCCACATTGATATTAATGGCGAAATTGCCATTAAATGGGATTTTGCTGTCTCTTTAGCACGATGATGCCTTTTTGTATTTCACTTCTTCAAGTTTATATTTTCAGAATACAAGTACTGCTCATGGTAAAATGGACTAACAACAGACTTTTCTGACAGGAACTTAATGAAATATCCTTATTTTAAACAGGCAAAGTACAATAATTTGTTTCAACAGCAAAGTTGGAGATGTTATTATCAGACTGGAATTCCAAATGTACCTGTGGCTTTAAATAAGAATCTTTAATTATTGAAGATAATACAGGTGACTTAGCTCTGATGTGGCTAATTTGATTCAGAAGTTGTGTGGTATGGCTCAGGTAGTATGGTGTACTTGTTTTTCCAGAAGTTTGGATTCTGAGTTGGATAGCAGTGTTAGTGCTCTAATCTTTTTGATGTAGATGTTGTTACAGCAACAATGATGAAATGACAATGCTGGCAGAAGCCCACCACCTTGCCAGGCTTTAGTACTTCAGAGTGAGGTCCTGGTTATAACAGAGTGTGTTCACTCTTCCGTCCACATCTTTCTATGCCGTGCACAGAAAACTTTGAATAGGAGATGTTTTTTATGTCGTGATGAAAGATGGATGGCTCCACTTTTTAAAGACTTTGAGTTTGCATCCCTTTGCAGACTCTTTATCCAATGAAATGTATTTAAGGTTAAATAACAGATTAGCAGTCCTTACAGGGTTTAGATGAACAGTTGACTGAGAGCCACTGAGCGGAGATGATTAGGAAAGCCTGGGAACTCCATTCTGTAGTCAGGAGCGAGCATTACAAATAACACCTCTGGGGTATTACATCAGGTTTTTTTTCCTCTTTCTTTTTTAAATTTCAAACCATATGCTCATTTTTTTGAAAAAGTCTTAACATTATTTTTGTTTATTTTTATGGTTTAAATGTATCTCCTCACCTCCCATTAACTTGTGAATGTTTAACCACTGACATCATCAATTCTAATACGTAAGTACTGTTTGAAGTCATGCTTTTGTAAACTCTGACCAGCTTCCTCCATACCTGCAATTATGCTTAGAACTTCCCAATCATAAAATGCTCAGAATTCTGAATGGTATCTAATACTGATGTTCCTAAACAACCCTGAACATGTTGGATGAGCAACACAGTGCTTCACTTTGTTAACAGATGTCTTTCTGTTTAAGAAAAAAAAAAAAAAAGAGAAAAGGGAAAAAAAAGGTTCAGAATCTTGCTTCTGATACAATAGCTTCCTTCGTATAAGAGAAGGAGATTTGACGTAACTGTTCACAGATAAGAGGTAGTTAAGGCTGGTTTTAATGTAAACTGCATCCTGTTGGATTTTAATGTCAAGAAGTGAAAGCCATAATGCACATCCTGACATGCTTTTAAGAGACTTTGGCTTAGACTGGAATCTTAAGTGGATGCCCTACTGCTGAGATATTTTATTGGTGAGGTTCATTTCATTGCAAGTAGCTTTCCTTGCCAAGTTGATCTGAATGGAGTCTAGTATTTATTAATAAATTCACATCTGCTTTTGCTACTACTGCATGCTAATAAGCAAGGGCATGCAGCAGAAAAAAATCCTCTGGTTAAATAAATGTATTTGTTTCAGATTTCTTTTTTTGTTTGTTTTGCAGCTTTTCACAAAAACATAGGAAATAATTAGCATCAGTAGAGTTAAAATTAGTGTTGTTCCTCTGAACTATTTGTTTTCTTGCCCTAGAGGGAAGACAGATCAGTATATGAATCTGGTTTAATCTTCATGAATAATTGGCTGTCCTTAGGTGATATTGGCAAATACTGTTAGATTGATTTTTCTTATTCTTGACTAATCATTCTAACACTGTGCAACCCTAGTAAAATCCAGAGTTGATTTGGGGCTAATTTGGGGGTGGGAATGAGACAGCAGAGGAAGGTTTGATTCCAATCTGTTGGCAAGAAAAAGACATTACTTTGCTTCAAATTACAATTAGAAAAGCAAAACAAAATATTTGCTTTTGAAAATGAACTTCTTGTAAAGTATAAACTTTCGCCAAAATGAGGAAGACCTTTATATTGATACAGATTATTACATAGCTAAGTTCCCTGATTGCCATCTAGATGCAGCTGCTTTGGCAGCACAGAGCAAGTCCTCCGAGGATATCATCAAGTCCTCCAAGTTCCCAGCAGCTCATGCACCAGCACCCAACGAGATACCAAAGATTGAGACAGACCACTGGCCAGGTCCTCCCTCCCTTGCGGCCATAGGTATGCAAAATGAAAATGATACAAGCCATGAGGCTTAAAAGGTACTAATAATCAAAGTAGATTAATACTGGAGCTGTAAAAATGGATGATGAAGATTGTGTCCTCTCCAGGTGTTCACCACAAAGTGCAGTTCTTCTGGTGAGACCTCTGAGTGTCTCTGAATTTAAAACTATTCAATAGCACTGAGTAGAAGAGGTTTTGCTAAAGGGCTTTGGAATTGATCACACAGATATTAACCCATAGACAAATTCTTTGCACTCCTGTGCAGTAAGTTAAAAAATGTAGTCTGTCACACAAGCCTGACTTCTTTCAGTTATTGTCTATTTAGTCTTTTAGTCCTAAGCTAATAGCAAATATTCCACAGAAAATATTGTTGCTTCCAACCACATGACTAATTTCATAACAAGAAGCAATGACTGAAGTGGAACAGTTAATGGACAAAAAAAGTCCTGATTTTCAGAGTTACTGTTTATACAGACTTTGTATTTTTCTTCTGTGTTGTTGCACTACAGGTATCTCGTTTTCTTTTCTTTAAATCATGTGCATCACCATTTTTTAAGTTGTTTTGTTTTGTTGGTTTTTTCCTCTGTTAATTTTTATTGACCCCCATAGCATAAAATAAGCTATTTAGCCTGGTTCATTTATGAAGTCATGCCTGAAAAACACTGAAGGTGTTCCTATTCCAGGTGTCTGTGAAGGAGTGTATGGTTTTCAATGCAATGGGATTTTCATAGAAGTATTGGAAGAGGAGACACAGGGTGGGAGAGCTCAATGGCCAATTGAAAAAGGCCGCATATGCAGTGACAATTTTTTGAAAATGTTTTTTATATAGGATCTCAACCTGACAAACATTGCAGTCACAGTGATAACATCTACACACCTGAAACTCTCCTGACAATGCTTGTGATAGCTACAGCATTATTATGTTACATGTCTAAGGGGGAGCCTTTGTTGGCAATTTTGGCTCTCGGCTCAGACTTTAGCTGGTGGATAACAGTTTTTACTTGTTTCCAGTAAAACTGCTTTGTATATTGGCTATCAGGTGATGTTGTTACACCTGAGAAACTAAACAGGACTGTTTGGAAACTGTTTGGAAACTGTAAAGATAAAAATGTGCTCATGGATGTATTTTATTCAGAAATAAGAAGGCATCATACAAGATGAATTGCTACAAAACAAACCCACAAGCCCCAGGGTTTTCAGCTTATTGTCTGATTTTCTGAGTGTGATATTATACTTGCAGAGCTAGAATGAGCTCAACTGTAAAAAAAATATAGTATTACTGCTATTGTACTGAAAAGTCTTGCAAGAACTCAAGACACCAAAGTAATAAATAATTAAATACAAACAAATAGTTTCTACATAATTTTTTTCTCTTTTTCCGAATTACCATGAATTTAACACTGCTGTACAAAACATTTAATTGCTATAAACCTTCTGATACTTTAGTTGCAAAGTTTAGTTTTCATTCAGATAAAACACTGAGTTTGTCTATCATGGGGTTGGTGAATAACTACATCAGGATGTAGCCTGTGCAGAAAAAAATACTGCTGCTGTCTAAATGCTTGCAGCAATATCATATTCTGTGTATTCATGGAAGTGTCCTGATGTCTAAATTGAACTACTTCTTAAGAATATTCAAGAAAATAAAGATTATTGAATAAAAAGTAAGGAACTAAAATGTAGAACGCCTGTGTCTTAATTAATTTTAGCTTTATCCAATGGTTCAAATTTGTTTGCTTCATTTTAGACGAAGGATAATACCTTGTTCCAAATATGAGTGTCTATTTAGGAAATTAATATAGTTCAATTTTCCATTTGAAATGCTAATTCATAATTGCTTTTCTGAGTCTAGATAAAAGTATAAATGTAAACCAAACTTTTATGTTTTCAGCCACTGATACAGTTACTGGTGCTATTAAACCCCATATTTCCAGAACTAGCAGTCTGAGCTCCTTTTTTTTATTACATTGATTCATGGCTTTTGTATCCAGGACTGTTGTTTGGTTGGAAACCCACATGCAATTTAACTCTTGTTAATTTTATAGCCTGATAGCCATAGGGCAGGTTATCTGAGTGAGTTTTGTTAAGAGTGAGTTTTGAAAAAGTCTTTTGAATCTGCAAGAAAATAGTACTTTGTTTATTCAGTAAATCAAACTGACCAGTGCTTTGAACTAGCATTGAAATCTTCAAGCTGCGGTTGAACTGATAGACAAAGCACTCTCTGTACTGTGGTTTTATGGAAGCAGGAGCTGACATGAGACGCAGATCAAGTGGAAGAGAGGAAGATGATGAGGAGCTACAGAGACGCCGGCAGCTGCAGGAGGAGCAGCTCATGAAGGTGGTTATAAGCTTGTCTTCATACTGTTTCTGAGCACCATCCAAAAAGTGCACCTTTGTTTTCTGTGAGCAATTTCTACTAATGCCTCCATCAGCTTTATTTTATTGATGTATTTTTTTTTTAATTGCCATTTATAGCTCAACTCTGGTCTGGGACAATTGATATTGAAAGAAGAGATGGAAAAGGAGAGTCGTGATAGGTCAGCCCTCTCTGCCAGTCGTTATGATTCTCCAGGTAATTCATGTAGGTGATAAAGCTAATAATGAACAGAAGAGAGACCACTGGGACGACAGCTTGATATGTGTATATGTGGTGCTCTCCCTTGAAAGAGTGGCCTAATTCATTAGCTAGTTTTGGTGAGAGGAGGAGTGTTGTGGTTGTTTTTTAATTGGAAGAAATATGAGGTTGAGGAGTTTCGGGCAATTCTGAGGAGTGAGGTTGACTATCACATCACACACATGCTAATAGGCTGGATTATTTAATTACAGTAACACGTTTTGCTTAAACTGGTGGTTCTTATCACTGTTTTGTCTCTCCTACCAGGGACAGAACATCAGCAACATTTACCAGTGGGGCTGCATATTCCAAACACAGCCCATGTTTTGGCCTTGGCTGACATTTTGGTTGGGTTTATTCTGTTCCAGAGTAAAAGCACAAAAGTCAACTTTGGTGGCTTAGATTCTTGACCTCATTGCATATTTTGACATACATCTGTGGTCTTCTCAGATCTCCAGAGAAGGGTTTGGGTGTTTTATTTCACTCTTTTCATCCACTGGTCATTGCAGCACAGCAGCTGTACTTTGAGCCAGGAAGAGCCAAGATGAGTCTCTTTGGAGTCATCCACTGGAACAGCTGCCAAGCAAACTAAGATTTTCTTGTGTTCCCTGTTGCCTAAGTGTGTTGCCTCTATTTATGGTCTTGGAGAGAATGTCTGTGTCTCTCCTTCACTATCTGTAATTTTTACAGGGCCAGAGTCTACCTGCTCAACTCAGAGGTTATGAATTTTTAATTCACTTTAGCATAGGTTGGAGGACTCCTTTACTGGGGATGTGTATATCCCCCCTTTGGACTGATAATCAGTGCAGTCATCAGTTGCCTTTTGTGGAATCAGTGATACCTTTCCCAGAGCTGCTTACTGCTGGCAACAACAGTGCCTCAAGTGCTGCATTCCCTGCCCTTCTGTGGTAAACATAACATGTAAAAACCCCAGAATTACATTCTTATATGGAGGATCTTGTCTGAAGGGGCTGTATGAACTGTAGAGGTGCTATTGATCATTTTGCTGATAATCTTTCTATTTATCCATCTTTTTGTCTGTATTTGAAAACACACCCTTGACATTTCCACGTTGCCTTTATCTTGCTTGTGCAATTTCTGAGGTCGGTGCAAATGCTAAGTTGAATGTGCCCAGACACCTTATTTCAGCTTCATTTCAGATGAAAGGAGGAGTCGCAGACTCCCGTCACATCATGTACCAGGATAACTATAATTTTGGATCAGAATGACAAATTCTCAAATTTGTTGCATTCCCTCAGCACTGCCCATTCTGATCATTCTGTTGAAGTCAGTAGCAAAACGTCTGTTGATTACAGTGTTACAGAACCAAAACTAATGGCTTTTCTCCTTTGTAGCAAAAAATGACAAGCTGAAGCGTGTGAATACAGAGAGAATGGAGTGTGCAGGCCATGTGTATCTTGGCTTGTGCAGCAGCAGAAGCTGGAAGCATGAATGCAATAATAGTTGCAGTAGGAATGATAAAAAGGGAATTCAGGAAAGGTTCAGAGGGTATAATGATATATAAACCATGTGTGTCAGGAGAGTGGAAGTGAAAAGACCTGCATGGGAGACTTAACAGGGAACCTACCCAGTCAAAGACTGCTGATCTTGGATTCTCCTTATCTTTTATTTTGGTCCCATGATAAGGTGCACAGCAATACTTTATCTCACTAAAGACTAAAAAGTTATTTTCTCTGTTGTCTGATCTTTGAGCATTATGTTCAACTTGGTAGAGACCACTTTGATTTTGAGCCTGGCAAAATGACAGTGTCCCTTCTTGATGACCTGCCACCATGGCATGATAAAGCTGCATGTAACTTACTGAATGTATGGAAGATTGTGATGAGTTTGGAGCTGAGATGTTAGTTTCTTAAAGTCAGTGTGTCTCAGTTGATTTTATATATATGCCTAGCTCTTTTAACTGTTTTTTATACTAGTTGATTCCTCAAATGTTCTTGTTTTTGAGTTTCCATGGAATTTTTGCAGTAAAAGATTCTTTTCCCTTCCTCATTCAACAGCACATGCTTCAGCCTCCAAAACCTCTTCTCTCCCTGGCTATGGAAAAAATGGACTTCACAGGGTAAGGAGTTGATGATTTTGAGAAGTGAAAGGTGGCTTTAATTATCCATGGTACTTTATTTCCATATTCACTGTATTGGATTTTCAGTTTGATCAAGGTTTCTTGTAAAACCATCTGAAGTCAGACAAAACGTAATTTCCCTTCCCACAAACTACATTGTTAAAAAAGCAAGAAAACAATGCAAGAAACGTTCTGAAAACTTAGGAGGAAATAAAAGGCTTACAGCAATTTATTTCTCCCCATATGCCAACCAGCTTGTGAAGTCATGAACTGTGATTTTATGTGCATGTCCCTCTTTTCCTATTACAGCCGGTGTCTACAGATTTTGGGCAGTACAACAGTTATGGGGATGTGAGTGGTGGTGTTAGAGGTAAGGCTGAGGAGCTTTTTTACATGCCACTTCATTACCGAACATGTTATGATATTTGATAATTTCCACTGGTTTATTTTAAGATTGTGGTCACGTTGTATTTGCTCAGTATATTTTAACTTCCTCTGGTAAACTCAACAATTAACTCAAACTCTGCAAATACCTATTAAAATGTTTGGGTTCATTTTGCTAAATCTGCTGTGTTTTGCTGGGCCTTGTTTATGGCAAGGGACTGCTTTAGCATTGGTGCAAATGGAAAGCAGGTAACATATATTATCAGGAATATGTACTGAGTTCTGTTACGGTGTTTTTTTTCTCTGAAAATTACCATCCACTGCACAGTCTGAAAGAATGTGTCACAGTGAAGAAAGGAAGATGATGCCTTGTAATCCCCATTGCTCATTATGACTTATGATGTGATATCAATCATTGCCTAATAAAAATTGACAATATTTATGAAAGCTATGAAACTTTGAGAGTTAACATTTTGAAATCATTTGAGTTGAGAGAGAGAGAGAGAGACAGGGGCTAGTTATCTCCAAAGTGAGATTGATCCCAGCTACCTTAGATACCCTATGATCAGGCATCTTCTGTTGGTGCTTGTGTCTCTCTATAAACTGTGGAGGAATCTAGACAGCTACCTGATGGCAAAGGTTAGGTGAGGTGAATCCTACTCTACACATTCGAGTTTTAGTTGGCTATTTATTCACTTGATTGTGGTTTTGTGTCTTTTAATATTTCCAAAGTGACTTGATTTCTCTGGATGAGAAGCCCAAAAGGAAAAGGGCTGCAGTACTGGGAGTGTTTGCCTCTTTACTAAATCTAAAAGTAGGAAGGTTGCTGGCCTTAGAGAATTGAGTGGAATTTTTAAAAGATCAGGTAGACCAGAGACACAAGGATTATCTGGTAGATTGGGACTTGATTCCTGTTCTTTCACACTCCAAGCTGATGAGATTTCTCTTTTGCTTTTCAGATTTCCAGGTAGAGTACGGGTTTTCATCAATCAACTGACAACAGAACTAAAAGCATCTATTTTCTTGAAGTCTGAATTTCTGCTACAGGGAAGGGTTTCTTAAGACAATAGCTTTGATTTTCCTGCATGTTTAAACATAAGAACCAATGTAGGTTCTTATAAAAAAAAAAAACAGGCACAGCCTCAGATTCCTCTTTGTTACCTCCCCAGAGCTGGGTTGAGATGGCTCACACCAGTTCTTTGACTTGCTCTGTAAAATCCACTGTCTGTTGATATATGAGCTATCTGTAATTAGTGCTCTCTGGACAGCTGAGGGTGGATTTATTTCCAGCCTCTCTAGTACTTACCCCAGAGACATATAGAAAGTCTCTTCTGGACACAATTTTTTCCCATAGCAGGAGCCTTGAGCTCCTCATTTTTACCCTGGAATTTGCTCTCCAGATAAGATGGCTGATCAATACTTTCCTATAGTGCTGCCATCAGAGATGAGCCAGTGAGAGATGTGCTTGCAAATATAAACCCTTTTACTATAAATCCTGTATGCAGGGTTTTTTCCAGAATGGTTTGAATCTGGCTGGCTCCTCCTCAGCACAGTCACAATATGAAGTGGCAGTTTAAGAAAGGATTTAATTACTGGGATAACTTCGTTAATGGTGTATCAAAGTAATGACGATTGAAAAGATAATAAGATTATGGAAGGAAAGAGGAGTTGTCCATGTTTGTGCTCAAAATGTTATTTCGTTAGGAACAGTACTTCCATGTCAAAACAGCACCTTTTTACCCTATCCCTGTTTGTGTTCATAGTAAAAATTTCCCATTGTAGAGAGAAAAAAAAAAAAAAAACAAACCCTCAGCTGATACAGTAAATGTCAGGAAGGCAAGTCCAGAGATGTAAGAGTGCTTTGTGTCCTGTTGGGTGGGAGCTGAATTAATGCTTCTGCATATTTGTCCAGAGAAGAACCCTACTTAGTCACTGGGATGGGAAAGGGCTCACCACTCTCTTGGGGTCCCCAGCTCCACCTGGGAAGTGATGTTGGTAGGCTCAGTGGGGACCTATCACCAGCCTTAGCAGTGACAGAAGGCTGTGGTGGCAGAGGGGATCGAAGGATCCCTCTGCATGCCTCAGAGAAGTAGTAAAGAGTAGCCATGGCAATGATCCATATGGTCAGATTAAATATTAAGACTTGAAGGAAGTCTTAGGGCAAATTCACCTTTGTTTTCACCACTACTTGAGTACCTTTACCCTCTGTGTGTGTAACCTATGTGTCTGATGTATACCTGTATCTGATGCAGTCCCTTCCGGATGGTCATGTCCCTGGAATGAGAATGGACAGAGGAGTATCTATGCCTAACATGTTGGAGCCAAAGGCAAGTGCAGATGTTATTCACTTTCCTTCAAGACAGTGAAGATTTGACTGTGAAATGCAGATAAAATATGGGAGATGTCTTAGTTCCCTTGTTTTTCTTTACCTCACCTCAGTCCCTGCTCCTTATGTGCCAAACCTCTCCCTTTGTCCTGGACTTTGCTTGTTACAGGTGCTAGTACTCAGGCAGGCTGAGGGCAGCCCAGGTGTGGTTCTTAGGTTAAGGAGGCTTTTCTAGAGACAAAGGTGCTGAAGATGCTCAATAACTAGTTCTCTGTCAAGCTTCCACTAGCCAAAACAGAAGGCCAAACTCAACGGGAAAGTCTCAGATCTGTCAGTTTGGAAAAGTGATGCAGAATATTGTGGCTCACAATGCACTGTTGAGGCTGTCTTGATTTAAAAATTAATGAAATCCCATTTGAAATAAAGATCCACGTAAGTTAGATACCTACATTTCTGTCTGGATCTGTCTTTAGCTCTCAGCACTGTTAACCTGACACTATTCAATAATGTTGAATTCCCTATGTAGGAAATTCTTCAGGAGATTTATTAGAAAAAGAAACAATGTCTGCAGAATATAATTTAAGATATAAATTAAAATGCTTTCACAGCTATGTTTAGAGATGTGTGAGTCAAAAATGAACATAATATACAGAGGGGATTCAACCAAGGC